CCCTGAATCAGGTAGCTGCTGGGCACTCGCTGTTGGGGCCCCCCCTGCGCTCGAACTTGGCCAATCTCTCTCGAACTGAGGCGAACTGTGCCTGTTGATCTGGTCGGGATCCCTGCCCCTCTGCAGCTTGGCCAAGGGGTTCCGAAGTGGTCTCTGCACCATCACCACCAACACTAGCTGACTCTGGCTGGGAACCCTCTGCGCCTCCTGGCTTGGGCTGGGGTTCATCGTCAGCATCCTGCACTCGTCGACGTTTGGCCAGTAGCCGCGTCTTCTGTGATTCATGCTCCTGGACCACCCGCTTGGCCTCATCCAGAGCTGAGGCGAATAGATCCTTGGCCTTCGTGGAAAGGAGCTCCCGCAACTGTTTGGTACGTTCTTCGATCCGTAGGCGATCGTCCTCATCCAGCTCCAATCCATCAGGCATGTCTGACAGGAGGCCCAGGTCGAAGTCCAGGGTGCCCACCTTGCCAGACACGAGGTCCTCCAGCTTGATCCGCGCAGGCGCTGGTCCTGGTTCGGGAGCGGCAGCTTTGCCTGTGGCAGCGAGCTTGCAGGCGAGCTCCGCATGTTGGGTGTCCATGATCTCCAACTCTGCGCGAAGGCCCATGATGTAGTCCTCATGCTCCTGCAGCTGGGCCTTCCACTTGTCATGCTTGTCCAGCTCACGAGAGAGCCGCTGAAGGAGCTTGTCACATTCACGTCTCGATTCTGCCAGTCGCTGCTCCATGGTCTTCTCAATGACTGGGGGGGTAGGCTTTGCCAGGATGTTGATGCGAGCCTGAACCCGCGTGGCCAAGTTCTTGTCACCCGTCTTGTTGGCGATGGCCAGCAGAGAACCCAACTCAGAAGCATCCAGGCCATCAAGGCTCGTCCAAGCCAGCGCTGGCGTGGAGGAGTTCGGGCCTGGCTGGAGGCCGGCGGCCAGCGGCAGCCGGTGCTCTGAACTCTGACGGCTGTCATTCCACGAGTTGTCTGATCCTGACCACGACCTGCCTGCACGAGACGGCCAGTGCTGCGGCTGGGTCCATCCTGGCTCTGGCGTGCGATATGAGAAACAATGTTTGCACCACTGCCATCTTTCCTCGTTGCGTGCACATCCGCAATGACCGCATCGCCACGAGGGCCCTGAGACAGGGGGCTTGTGTAGCTTGCGTTGCACGACTGTGGCCTTCTTGTTCGTCGACCCGTCCGCACGCCACGGGGCTGAGCGCAACTCATCCGTTCCCATCGGCGTGCCGTGACAGGCAAGAAGGAAGGTACGTTAGTATGCCTGGCAAGCCAGGAGAGCAGTTGGGGCCGCGCGCACCAGAAAGGTGCCCCCTTGCCAGAATGCTCACGTCCGCTGTTGACGCTCGGGCCACGCTACGGACTTGAGCCAAAATGGCTACGGAGGAGGGAGGAGGAGGAGGGAGGAGGAGAAGAAGGAGAAGGAGGAGGAGGAGTGAGGAGGAAGAACGCGGGGCCTGCTAATTCAAAACGGTGACCCAACACCATAATATGGTTGGGAAATTACCCTGGCGAAGGACCCAACCATATACAGTTGTGAGCACCGTCGTTGAAGGTATCGCCTTCGATGGATCTCCTTATGGGGATACGAAGCGTGTGAAGGGTGTGCCGAAATGGGGCGAGGCCACCATGCGGGCGCTGCCACTAGTCACTGGGGCCTGAACACGAGCCCCCGTATGGGGCCAAAAACGTGTGAGGAGTGTACTGGACTTGGGCGGGGCTGCCAAGCGAACATCGCCACGGGGGCCTCAGGTGGAGCTCCATTTGGGGCCACGAGCCGACATGGACGGGACGGCAACATGCGACGTCGCCAACATGGCCTCAGGTGGATCCCCCACACGGGGCCACGGAACATGTGCGGGGTGCTCCGAACCGGACGTGGCGCCCTCATGCGAATATGGCCACTGAAGCAGTCAGTGGCGCTCCCCATGGCGCAATGAAGCGTGTGAAGCGTGTGCCGAGATGGGCGGGGCGGACACACGTGAGCAAGGCCAATGCGGCCGCTCCCCATGGGGCCACGAAGCGCGTGAGGGGTGTGCCGAAATCTATGGGGCGGCCACATGGGAAAATGGCCACTGAAGCCTTCCGTGGAGCTGCCTACGGCGCCGAGCGGTGTGCAGAAATGCGCGGGGCGGCAACATGCGAACATGGCCACTAGGGCCTGAGGTGTAGCTCCCTAAGGGGCCACGAAGCGCGCGAGGGGTGTGCCGAAATCAGTGGGGCGGCCATATGCGAAAATAGCCACTGAAGCCTTCGGTGGAGCCCCCTGTGGGGCTATGAAACGTGTGAGCGGTGTGCAGCAATGGGCGGGGCGACCACATGCGAACATGGCCACTGCTGCACATTTCGGTCTTAATGTTTCAATCGGCCTGTCACTGGGTTTCTGTATCGCCCCCGTGAGAGGAAGCGGATTTGCTGCTTGGGAAGTGCCAATTGCCAGTGGCTCCGACTGCGGCCTTAGGTGTAGGTCCCTATGTACCACGAAACGAGTGAGGGGTGTGCCGGAATGACCGAATAGGTATGCCGAAATCAAGGGTCCCCCCCTTTTGATCGATGGCCTCCGAGATGGCCCCAGGAGGCCACCCAAAGCTGCCAAGATGGCCCGAAGGGAGCCCCCAGAGGGCCCTAAGAGGGCTACGAGAGGGCCAAAAGACCCCCAAAACAACCCCAAGAGGATCTCAAGACTCCAAAAGAACCCCAAGAGGGCCCCATGAGGCCCCAAGAGAACCCCAAGAAGACTCCAAGAGGGCCTCAAGAAGACTCCCAGATGGCTGCCAGAGTTCTCGTCCTCGTCCTCCTCGCCCTCGTCCTCCTCGCCCTCTCCTCCTCGTCTTCCTCCTTATCCTTTTCGTCCTCGTCCTCTTCCTCGTCCTCCTCCTCGTCCTTGTCTTCGTCCTCCTCCTTGCCCTTGCCCTCGTCCTCCTCCTTGTCCTTGCCCTCATCGTCCTCCTCATCCTTGTCCTCCTCTTATGGTTATTGGTCTTCTTATGAGTATGGTTCGCATTACGTTAGAATTCGTCCTATTATCATGATTATTATCATTATTCATAGTATTACTATAACTATTAGTATGCCTTCCTTCTCCTACTCCTCCTCCTCCTCCTCCTCCTCCTCCTCCTCCTCCTCCTCCTCCTCCTCCTCCTCCTCCTCCTCCCCTCGTCGTCGTCCATAGAATCCTCCTCCTCCCCCTTCTCCACCGCATCCTCTATTCATCATGATTGCCGGCTTCGTTTCACTAGATGTGTCTCCTCCTCCCGTTTTCAGTTAACTCTCAAGGGCAACGCTTCTGAATGGGATGGCGGGGACGCGCAAAACGTGAAGAATTGAGTGCATAACTCCCGAGGGAGGAAACCACCGAGCAACACCGTTAGCACCCCACTTGATTACATAATTCCTCGGGGGGGGGGCTCAGGAATCCTCCGGAATCCAAAAGGTCTCGCAGGAATCCTTCAGGAATGCTTGAGGAATCCTCCAGGAATCCTTCAGGAATCCTCCAGAAATGGTGAGGAAACCCTCAGGAATCCTCAGGAATCCTGTAGGGCAATTCTTCAGGAATCTTCAGGAAACCCTTTGGAATCCGCATGGGGTCCTCTTGAAATCCTGAGATGACCTTGGTGAGATCCCGCGCTGAGGGTTCCAGGGGCGGAATCTCATTTCCAGGGGCGGGAAGCGACGTCCGCCACCGTGCCGCTGGGCACGGAATGGACGTGTCCTCAGGTCCTGGGCTCAATCCTCTAATCGGGAGCGGCCAAGAGGGGGGTGTCCAAGAGGAGGGGGTGCAAATCATGACCAGCGGCATGTGCACGGCCCAGCGGGGGGGCAAGGGACGTAATGAAATAAGAAGGGGCGCCATGAAATCTTGCGAAATATCATGGCCCACGCCATGATATCCACCCCCCCCCCAGTCATCACCCCCCCTTTTCCGCCCCCGATCTAAGCCTCAATCCTCGCTCCTGCTGAATGGGGCCCGGGCCCCAAATTCACAGATCTCCCACGGCTTGGCGCGTGCCCGCTGGGCTCCGGGAAGTGCTGTCGCTTGCACTTGTCAGGCCCACGAGGGCCCCGAAACGGGCCAAGAGGGCCCCCAAGAGGCCCCGACGGCGGCCCAGGAGGGCTCCGAGTCACCGACAGATCGGCCCAAGACGCCCAAGATGGCCTCAAGACAGCGCAAGAGGCCTCCAAGGCGCCCCAAGGTCTCCCAGGGGCAGAGATCATTGATTTTCCTTAGGTTTTCAACGGATTTGAGCGTTCTCGCCTTTTCGGCTTCCCAACGCTTCCAGACGGCCCTGGAGGCCCCCAAGACCGCCCCAGGACGGCCCAAGAGACATCGAAGAAACCCCAAAACAGCCCAAGAGGGACCCCAGACGGCCCATGGGTCACCCAAAACAGCCCAAGAGGGCCCTAAGATGGCCCCCAAAGGGGCCCAAACAAATGGGAACACGAAGTGAAAATTCTAGCCTTCTGCCCCAAGAGGCCCCCAGGAGGCCCCAAGAGGCGCCCAGGAGGCCCAAGAGGCCACCGAGAGGCCCAAAAGAGGCGGCCCCAAGAGGCCCCCCAAAAGCCCCCAAGAGGCGTCCAAACTGCCTCCAAGAGGCTGCCGAGAACCCCCCCACGAGATCCCAACGAATATCCGACAGGCTTCATACCCACAACCCAGGCACGAAGGCGGGATGGGCCGAAGGCCATTCGACTATGAATCCCGCAATGCCCTTTCTTCTGACTACCTACCAGACCACCCCAACCCAACCCGAAGACCCGAATTTCGGGTTGGGGGGGGTAAGGGTTCCACACGTGCTTTTTCGATGTTTCCCGACCCCCCCCCCACTGGAAATCGAGGGCAAATCTGAGCCTTCGGGTTGGGTTGGGGTGGTTTGGTGGGTGGTGATCTTCGAGCTGGCTGCTGACGCTGGCCTGATCTTCGGGCGGCTACTCCAGACGCTGGAGGCCTGGGCGTCTCCCCTCCCCCCAGCGCGCGCGCTGGACCCCCGGGCTCCTCGCGCCCGCCGAGGCCGCGCGCCCTGCGCCAGGCCCGGCGGCTGAAGCTGGCGCGCCCCAGGAGCTTGCCACAC